TTCTTTCTCCTTCTTAGATAAACGGCTAATTTCTATGAAAACCAGGTTTTCATTAGACCAAAAATAATTTCACTTCTGCTTGCGAATTTATTTCCGTCTTCTTTTCAGCTCTCCGGTCAATTTCTGTGAATGCATGGTTTTCATTGGTCCAAAGAAAATTTCACATAAGTTCTCGATTTACTTTCCGTGTTTTTCCTCAGTCCTCCAATTTGATAGTCGTGGGTAAAGGGAGTTATTTCGCACTCACTACATGTGTACTTATTCATAGTTTTTGTAGACATCATCCTTATTCGCAATCCATACTAGTAGAGCTTATTGGAAACGCATGATCTCACAAACATATAGACTCCACTGGATAAATAAAACATAGCAAAGGAAAACCCCTCGGTCCCACTCGCACATAGTATAAATGTTACAAAATTTAAGTGCAGATGACTCATAGCCTTTCTATAAGCCAACTCATTCAATACTTTCAAAGAAACTTGTGTTTTGTTTTGTAGGTCGTTTTGGGTTACAATTAACAAGGACAGATTCATTGGTTTATTTTGAAATAGCTTTGTTGAGAGATCGAATTCATAACTCTTTAACACCTAATTACAGCGCACACACACACACACACACACACACACACACACATATATATATATATATATATATATATATATATATATACATAAAAAGAAACCGTCATAAGCATGGTTCATAGCACACGTAAGGTCCTGCTTATTTTTTTTTTACTTAACCTGCCTAAGATTTCATGCCTGGAAGCACAACTTGGTCAGCCCAGTGGTGTGCTTTAAAAATACTCTGAGACGCTGTACAAAATTAGTATTAAAGTAGACTAAATAGCATTAAAACGAAGCGCCCAGTCAAGTGTGTAGCACTCAGTTAAAATGATTGGTTGCCAGGTTAATGACCCAGCACAGAAAAGATTTCTTGAGCATGTCATTCGGGGGCATTAAGGACAATGCTCGGTCGGTAGGTGTAATGTTTCGGATTTTACACGTAGATGAATGAAATAAGAACACATTTCATTGTCTCATTTTAAATCGCTATTCAGAAATAAACGGACAAAAATGAGAGATCAAAGTTGACGTCAAATATTTCATATCCGTGACTAAGAGCTCAATCTAATGTGTTTATAATATCAGCTAGACGTCAGAGATTGTTCATATTTTCAAATGTAATGTCGGTATCTTTCAACTTTGATATGGACATTGGTTATATAACGATGTAATGAAATATTTCTTTGCTGACTGGAAATCTGAGTGGGAGAGCCTAACGTTGAATTATTTGAATTATTGTTTAGGAACCTGAGTATTTTTTTAGCTTTAGCTTTCTCAAATATTGTTCAACATTAGTATAAACTAGCCTTTTACATACTTTATTTTAAAGTTACCATGGAAGCTTTTTATTCTGGTTTAAAATCAAAAATATAGTTTTTCTTGGGTTAAAGTAGATAATTTTTAAACTATCAGTTATGCCAAAACATAACCCTTCATCAGCTTGCAACAATAAATACTGATTCAAACCTGTCCTTAAATGAACTCATTTTATTTATCTATTTAGAGATTTTATTTCCCTACGATAGGGTGCTGAAAATACTCATGATCTTCCTCTCAGGATCTTACCAAACATCAGAATTTCGGAAGAGCATTCCTCGTCAGTGGTCGGACAAGAAACTTTTCAGCAACCTCTTAAGTTTTGAAGGTTTTACAAATACATGAACTGATTTAATGAGAGGTGAGTAAGAAAGTTATGTTGTGTCAATTTGCAAAGTCAGACAGATTTCCTGTTTGTCTTGAAAGTCGGTAATGGAAACTCAAACTCAAATATCAACAATAGGCGTTAGAATCAAAGTTGCAGATCTCTCTTCAGAACCAAGAAAGTCGAACAGTAATTGGAATCCACCGAAATAGACTGAGTGTAAGATACTTTTGCAGAGAATTGTTACCAGGTCCTTTCTCAGGATAGGAGCGCCTCGGCGTAGGTTGACAAGATTGTCTGATTCTCACTTATGATTTCACTTATTAGCCTTGTGTCAAGCAGGCAATATTAAACAATACTCCCTTCTTAGGGTTTGGCCAGTTTCATTTCCTTTTCTTCATTTTATTTGCTTATCAGCTTGTTCCAAGAAACCTTCAAATATTAGCCTTTACTTGTTCTCTTGGGTCATTAAGTGAATTTGTCTTCACTTTATGCCCCATATGTGTAAAATTGAACTCGAATTAACTCCTCTGTTATATCATCTGCATTTCCCTTTTATAAGTTTTGTTAAATATTCATAACCGTGTATAATTATATATAAGAGGCATGGTGGAATAATCGATAGCAGCCCAGGGAGAGAAATCGGAAAGTAGAGTTCGTTGCATCCATCTCTTCTCCCCCCGAGCTATGGGTAAAATAGCAGGATATACTGGGTGGCAACTGATCTAGAAGGACAACTCTGAATTCGAAACCTGAGTGGGGTCATTTGGGGACCTAGTGGCATGATGTGCACCAGTTCTCTGTATTCGGATCTTCCAAAAAGTAGGATTGATTTTGCATAAGCCTTCACCACTATAATCAAATGTGCAGGTAGCATGGCTGTTCGGTTCTAAGAACTGAGCTGCTGGACAATCGTACGTCACACACACACACACACACACACGTGTGTGTGTGTGTGTGTGTGTGTGTGTGTGTGTGTGTGTGTGTGTGTGTGAGAGAGAGAGAGAGAGAAAGAGAGTGGTGCCTGGCATAAAACAATGGTTAGAAAAATCGTCTTAACAAATTCGTTAGTGTAGTTGGTTCGATTCTTATTGATTGTCCCAATATTGTGACCTTGTACTAGACTTCTTTAATTCAGCGTAATTTCTCTGTGTGTGGACGTAATGTACTGTTTAACGACTCGGAACAAGAAATTAGGTGGGAAGTAGGAGCGATTTAGAATTCTGGTCGAGTTCATTGCACTCACTTTTTCACAAATTAACTTGGGAAATCCATCTTTTCTCCTCGGCTATGGGTTAAATAGTATAGCATACTGGGCTTTTTAGCCATGCTTTGCGAGCAGTGTAAAAGGCCAACTCTGAATTCAAAACACACCCACCTAAAGCTGTACAAAAATGAAATGAAGATACAATGTCTGTAGAAGAAAAGCTATAGATTTTAACAACTATGTGTGGATTTTCTCTTGTATTGTGAAAAAATATTAATATTTAAATAAATCCAAGAGTGACACAGAATGTGGAAGTTTACTTTTAATTTTGTTTCAAATAAATGTTTAAAGAAATCAGTGAAGCAGCCTATATTTTATGAAAAAGTTGTACCCGATATGAAAGGAAGGAATAACTTGTACCTGGATCGTTTAGTTTATAGAAAAAGTAAAAAGTACAAATACGTGCAGCAGATAGTGTGTTTTATATGAATTTCAAAGACAATATTGACGGATTTGTACATAGATTTATTCAACTATATATATGCCATTTTGCTTCATTCAGTTCTCCTAGATCTTGGTATCATTTTCTGATGAATTGGTCTGTTTTGTTTTGTTTTCGTTTTTGTTTGTTTTTATCCTTTGTTTTTGTTTTCAGGCTTTCAGAAAACTGAATTTCTTTCCATTAAGAGAATTTTCTAGGGGTCAAAATAAGCCGTATTCGGAAATAGGTGGCAATAAGGATCGAAATGGGTGGTAATTTCCAGATGTTAGGTCAGGTAAGTACAGCGAATGTAGGACCCGAGCTGTATCACTTTACTAGCATTTCTATCAGTTGTAACGTCATCATAAACGTTACATATCTTTCTTTGCTGTTTGTACGGCGTTTTTAATTTTTCTTTATTTTTTTCAGAAATAAAAGGACATCAAATGACGAAAATGTGTCTCCTTTTCCTCCATTTTCCCTTTTAAAGTAAAAGCATTTAAAATTCGCAATCTATCTATCTATCTATCTATCTATCTATCTATCTATCTATCTATCTTCATCTCTCTATTTATCTTTCTCTATCTCAATATCTTACTATCTTTCTATCTCTATCTCTCGCTCCCATTTTTCGTGTGCATGAATGATCGTACTTATGTGTAAATTAATGAATTTGTTTCAGTGCATATCAAATGATCAGTCAATACAACAAATACTTAGGTGTCCTTCAAGTTACGCTTACAAAGTTAGAATTGAGATTCAAATTTTTTCTCATCTCCGCACTTGAAAAAATTAAATGAAAACTTAGCAATGAAACACTTCACCACAAACCTATTTCAATCAGGTCAGCAGTTCCTAGAACACCGTTGACATGTAATCGAATTTTAGACGGTAGATCAAATTTTCTCGTTAATGTTGATTTTAAAATTATGTTTATGTTTTCATGATTTGACGAGTCATCAGTTAAAATATTTGTCTAAAAACTTGGTTTATTTTAACGAACGTACAAAAGTTCTTATTTATATTAAAGATCGAGACGTTCATCAATCACTGACAAATGCAATAAACTTATTTTACAAGAAGAGGGATGTTTCAGAAGCCATTTTCAAAAGTTTCACGGTGTATTTAAGCATAGATCTCGCATCTTCAAATGCGACAGGACTTTCTTTCAAAACTAATACATTTTCAACTTTCCTTTAAAAAATGTTTACATTATTTGAAATGTAATAAGTGCATTCTAGTGTATACTGACATATAGTTATTAAAATAAATACCAAAATATTTTCTCAGTAAATTTAATATTTTCAAGCAATTCTGAATGTAACATGTTTTTCGGAAATTTTAAAAATCAGAATAAGTCATTGATTTTCTTATGTATTTATATTTTGAAAGGGATATTATTAATTTTTAAAAAGTTTTTAAACTCTGCGTGAAATTCCACTATATACCAAAATTAACCCATAGCTAAGGGAGAATAGGTGAATCCACACCTTTCTCAAGGATATTTGCACGTAAGTGAATATAATGAACCTAACATGAATTGGAACTCTGCTCTCTGATTAACAATTCCGATCTATTATCCATTACTACACTCGCACATCCTAGCTTACAGCACCTGGTATTTCCAAGCGGCCACCCATCTAAGTTCGACCCAGGCTCGATGTTGTTTAACTTAGGTGATCGTACAGGAACCAGTGTTTCAAGGTGATGTGGCCGTAAGCCTCTTGTAATGAAGCTTCTCGGAAAGGCGTAGATTAAACATTGGTTCATATTGGATTCTATAATTCGCTGTCGCTAAACACAACGTTGCAATTCAGTCGAGTCTAGAAATCGAATCGAAAGAAGAATCTCTAATATTTGCAAATCTCATTTCACACTGTAAAGAAAATCTGAATATCTCGTTTATAAATTATTTTAGAAGTATTTTGGGTGGCATTAAAAAACAGAAAAGACTGCTGGGAATTTTCAGGTAATTGAAAAATATTTCTTAGACACATATGTCCTTGTTATTTGCCTACGAAGAAAGTGTTACCATATCGCAAGTAATGCTGTATTGAAATGGAATGATACATGTTATATCCACCAGCCATTCCAATTATCACAACATAGAAAATGAATTCGTGAAGTTAATCTCCTTCAAGGTCTACAGTAACCTACTGAACATTTAAAGATCTTAATCTACCACCATATTTTACTGAAAATAGTCTATGTATCCTAATCGAAGAGAATATTCTTTTGTCTGAAAAGTTTGCCGAGTAAAAAGATCAGCAAAACAAGGCATTTTCCTTGCATAAAAGAAACGAATCTCAAAACAGGAGGCAACACTTCTATTTCTATCTCTTATTCGTCTTTTGTGTGTATGTGTGTGGTGATAGACAGGTGTATTTATTTTGGTAAATATAAACAGAAAAATAGATAAAATTTAAGTCTTTTTTGTTGGTCCCCCACCAGACAAATATACTAACCTCTAAACCGGGTGGGATGGGTGATAATGAAATAAACTTAGCAGAACAACTCCGACTGCTTGTGAAAAGTTTCCCTGTGCCGCTTCCATAAATACTTTCATTGAAATTGTTCTGATGAACTTTCCGTTATGATACTATACATTATTAATTCTAGTGCAGTACACCACATTGGCGGCAAGGTCTCGTGATTTTTCAGTTGAAATTGCGAGATACAACCGTAAGTTCTATTTTAAAAGTTTCTTCTTTCACACTTCTCACTTGTGGAATTCTCTTCCTGCTTCTAGATTGCATGTCAACTTTGATATTGAAGAGTCTAAATGCAATGTCAATCGTTATTTTCTGTTTTAATTCTTGTTCTTTTATTGTCCTCTCTGTTTAATAGTAGTTTTTCTCCTACTCTCTAACACTCAGTAATATTTACATTATTCGGACTATTGTCCTCATCTTTGTCGGGTATTATAAACCTAATGTCTTCAGCAACCATTTTTACCAGTGCTCATATTGCAATTTTTGCTGTTATCAATTCATGTTTTTACCAGAGCTCATATTGCAACTTTGTTGTTATTATCGCTTTTCTCTGGCACTCCCATATTGTATTATTTATAAGCTGCCCAGGTCTAACATAACAAAACTGGAGATGTTGGCGATCGGATCCCTACAGAGGAACGAAAACATCATCATACTACCGGCTGACAAAGGTAATGCGACTGTAGTGATGGACAAATCAGATTATACAAGAAAGCTGGAAGACCTCATTAGCAATGGTAGCTACAGCAAAGTAAAAAAGGATCCTACTATGAAAACGGACGCAAACTGTCACAGCTACTAATCAAGAACAAGCATCACTTCGCACCTAAGACGTATAGGCAGTTATCGCAGCGTTACACTAAGCTACCTCATATATACGGTCTTCCTAAGATTCACAAAGACGGTATTCTGCTCAGGCCGATTGTTAGTTTCCAAGGCTCTCTGAGCCACCCTCTGAGTCGCTTCCTTGTAGATATAATTGGCCTATTGATCGGAAAGTCTCCTTCATATATCCGAAACTCCGCCCACTTCGTGGAAATAATCAAATATGCTCCCATCCTATCCAACCAGATGGTGAACTTGGACGTGGTGAGTTTGTTCACCAAGGTACCCACAGAGGAGGCACTCTCAGTAATCAGAGACATATTGGACTCTGATTCATCCCTAGAAGAACGGACCAGTATTTCAATAGATAATCTGATGGAGATGTTAATTTTCTGTACACAAACAACACACTTCGGAATGGGATCACTCATATATCAACAGGATGAGGGCTTAGCAATGGGCTCACCATTGTCACCAGAAATGGCGAATATATACATGGAATACTTTGAGGAAATGGCATTAGAATCTATATCTCTAAAGCCAACTCTATGGTTAAGGTACGTAGATGACACCTTCATACTCTGGCCACACCAGGAAGATGTTCAGGTTCTACTGGACCATGTGAACTCAATAAGACCTTCCATACAGTTCACAATGGAGAAAAAGAGTAACAACACACTCCCATTCCTGGATGTTCTAATATCTCGAACAGAGCATGGGTTTAAGACATCCGTATACTGTAAACCGACATTCACCTGACAGTACCTCTCAATTTCAACTCCCACCATCCATAAAGCGTAAAGAAAGGGATCTTCCGCTGCTTACAACACCGAGCAAAAGTCATAAGTGGCGACCCAGAGACGTTAGATAAAGAATTGGTCAGTATAAGTAGTACCCTACAACGTAACAACTACCCTGGGTACATGGCAGCAGCCCCCAAAACTGGGATAGGCGGGTACAAGAGGAGGAGGACAACAACACTCAGAAAACAGTCTGCCTGCCCTATGTGAAGGGGTTATTAGAGAAAATACAAAGGATCTGCGGACCATATAACATCAGGTCAACCTTCAAAAGCTTGACGACACATCGCAGATATCTCTCCCGAGTAAGACTCCCCATAGAGGAGAACATGCATAAAGACTGTGTGTACGCTATCTCGTGCAGCTTCGGAAAGAAATATAAAGGGGAGACAGGCCGCCCCCTCAAGGTAAGTTTTCAAGAACACCAGAAAGCTGTAACACGAGGGGAAGTGGAAAAATTAGGCGTGGCTGACCACATATGGGGAGAGAAAGGAGATCACCACCCTCTGTGGGATCAAGTTGGGATCATAGACAATGAACACCATTGGAAAATTCGTAAACTTAAGGAATCAGCACATATGCTAGGCCAAAAAAATCTCCTGAGCCGACCAAGCATAGAAATAAATACAATATGGGAACCAGTAATAAGGAGTGCCAGAGAAAAGCGATAATAACAACAAAGTTGCAATATGAGCTCTGGTAAAAACATGCAATGATAACAGCAAAAATTGCAATATGAGCACTGGTAAAAATGGTTGCTGAAGACATTAGGTTTATAATACCCAGAAATTCATACACAGATGTCCTCAAGGACACATGGCACAGTGGATAAAGATCCAGTGACAGAGCCCAAAGAGTGTGCGTTCAATACCAGACTAAGGCAGTGGAGAATTTTCAGAGATAACTGACATCCATTAAACATGGCACGTGGAACTAGAAGCGAAATAAAGGGTTCAGTTCGACATTCCAACCACCTGAAGAAGGTTTACATTATTCGGACTATTGACCTCATGATTGTCGCCATATTTATTACAACGTTTCGGCCGGATAAATAATAATAAATATGGCAAGATGAGGTCAATAGTCCGAATAATGTACCTAATACCTCATCTCAGAAATATAGACAAACTCAGTAACTCCTTGAATCCTAGTGGCTTTATTGCCTTGCTTGGGGTGAAATGATTTAAAAAAAATGTATATAATTAGACTCTGTATATCTACACTAACTAAAAAATAAAATTGAATAATTGTGTGTAAAGTTTGACCTGGGTATTGTGTATGGTATACCAGTGATAAGTAGATATTCTAATAACATTTTAGGTCTTCAGCCATGTAGTGACGCACTAACAACATAATCCAGTGTCTGTTATGATAAGGTTCAGTTCAAGTAGGATTCATGCCATAGAGATGTACACATGCTCCTTTTTTTTCTTTTTTTCAATTAGATCCGCCGGGGATTGGTCGCATTATGGACCTTTAAGAGTTTGAATGGTCAATTCAGAGAAATTGTGGACTTCTGTGTTGACAACAGTTTTTAAAAGAGCATTCCAACACCCATAGCCTTGAAGAGGCTGCAGTGACAAACTGCAGGTAGACCATAGAATAGATCAGAGAGTATGGCCCAAGGAGTATTCAATCTGGTCGGTTGAGAATCGTTTACTTGCAGACGGACTAGAGATACTAAATCTCTCTTCCATTGAACGGCATCTGATGCGTTCAAATAGCCCGCCGAGAACTTTTGCTGTATAGTGCGACAATTGATACAATAAGTGGAATTATGTATCAGAATGGTATCCACTGCCCGTATGGTCGAGGGGGCAGGCCTGTGCTAATGCACATGGAGGATATACGGTGTATTAATATGGGGTCTGAGTACTTTTATAGACTCCTTATTTTGGGGTCTGTATACGTATTGCTTTGTTTATGTGACCTTTACTGACATGTATCTAGATTAGATGTAAGTTTAATCTTGAGTAAATTGTAACATATTCAGGGACTTTCACTTATTTTTGTCAACGTAATATATATATATGTGTGTGTGTGTGATATATATATATATATATATATATATATATATATATATATATATATATATATATATATACTGGAAATCACCGTATGTAAGGCCCTCAAAAACCACCTGAGGTTAATGCTTACTGAAAAAGCATACAGGGGTTTTTGCAATTGATTTTATCAACGAAAATGAGTTGATAAAATCTTACAAACATACTTATATTTTCATTCTCGTTTATAAACCACAAGTTACTACAGATTTTAACCAATATATTCACTGCTCAGAATCAAGATAAAGTTATTTAGGCTTGAAACCCAAATTATGATTCCTAACATTGTAGTCGTCATTAAGTACGCACTTCTGCATAGATGTTTGGTGTTTAATGAAAAGTTATTAACCTAAATCATAAATAATTTCCGTTTTTGTTTATCTTTTTTTTTTTAATAAAGTTGATGATTACATTTTATTTAATTACATATTCACCATTATTTGCAATGAATTGTTACCACTTGTTAGGCAGCTCTTCGAGCAAACATCCGCAGGTTTTGTTATGAAAAAGTTTTTGAAGGACTCTTGAATTTGGTTTAA